AACTTGTCATTATCTTTTTATTTTGTTTCTTCTGTTACTGACTTAACGGACAATTGTTTAAGCATGACAAGTGAAAGTTGAATTTAGCATTTAATATCTTGTTCTGCTGTTTTGGCAGACTTGCAAAGCATACTTTTGACATCCATGGTTCAAATTCACTTTATTTTTATTAGTGAAATGTTAACCCTCATTCAAATTCTTTTCCTAATCTGCTAATAGTCTTAGTACAATAACCAACCATTTGTTTCCACCATTCTTCTTCTTCAGGTGAAGGTGAAGTTTTCATTTGGGATGTAAAAAGCAGGCGATGTATAAATAAGTTCACTGATGAAGGCTGTTTGCATGGAAGATGTCTTGCTCTATCAAAAAATGGCCAATATGTGGCATGTGGGTAAGTGACAGTATGCTACAGAATATCATATTCTCTCACTTTGGAGCCCTTGGGTAAATTTTTAACACTTGCAACAAATAAAGAACTACTAGTGGCTAGGAATTAATTTTTGGTGAGGAGATGTATGGACTAGGAGTCCTATTCCATGAAACACCTAGCCATTGTGCTTCATGGGTATTTCAAATAATATAGTGTTGGCTAAACACCATGTACATGTTTTTACTAGCTCAGCTTCTATTAACATGGTGTTAGCTACTCCATCTGTTTTAAAAGGCAGACCTGAATCTCTGACTCATTCATTAATACTATATTTATTCAAATCCAAGATAAGGTGTTTTTCCCCAGTCGCTGTAGGGAAGAGGGAAACCTAATTTTAAATGCAAGTACCAGCCCAGCCTGGGGCAAGGGGAGGGGAGATCCTGGCCCTTCACCCCACTGCTGCTGCTTTCCCTGCCATGCTGGTTGTTGGAATGGAATATGAAAACTTTAGACAGCCCACCAATAAGAAGAATCTTTACATGGAAATATAACCATTTTTATAACTTTCCGTGTATAGGATCCAGTTATTAGGGGTTGTCTTAAATGCAAAGTCTTCTTGGATTCAGATAAATGTAGTAAATATTTACTTTTTTCCCCTTAGTCACTTCCCAGCTCCCTCTTTCTTACAGTTGCTATTGCTGTTGTGTATTGTTTTAAATACCCGTTTTTATGTTAGAGAAACCTGAAAAAAATCCTATATAAAATGATTGCTACAGAAACTATTGAAAAAAGCTAACTTTTAAACATGTTTAGGTGGGGGGTGGGGATCTCTTTTGGTTGGCACAGCTTGTACAGTCAGTGCTGCTGCTGCTTGTCTAGTTGGATTACTCTGATATTTTATGCAGATGGGGTGCAGAAAACTCTGTGACAAACATTTCCTTTAAAATAAATCTGAAATGTTATTTTTCAAATTAAGTTTCATCTAGCTGTGTGAATAAATGTTTATTTCAGTGTTCAACTTGTCAATCTAAAGTCCTGTTTTGTATCACCTGAAGCCCAATTCTTCACTTGGAAGCTTAGTTTATTGCTGAAAACCTGCTTTTTAGTTTAGTTTTTAGAGAAACCAACTTTCTTGTGAAAATGGGTGAAAATGTCATGTATGTTTGTTCCTAAAATCAAATGCATCATTTAGTTTGTCGTCTTTTATGCAATACTGTCTTTTGAACCTGCAACATAAAATAGAGATTTTGATGAACTGTAACTATTTGTCCTTGTCTCTAGTTATAGTAGAGTGCACTCTACTTAATATAGTACTCTAGAAAAGTTACTTTTAACTTTTTTTTTATAGCTTTAAAGAAATGGGCTTAAATTTAAGACCAGACAGAATGGGGAAAAAAATGCAGCTATAATTCCATTTTTAGTGGTTGCTGTATCCCTCAGACAGTTAGTTGTTTATTCATTCACTACTTTGGGCAAGAAAGAGCATTAAGAATTGACAAGTAAAGCTGCATTTCTTTAAATTGAACAAACTTGATTTATGGTACTTATGAAAGCTTTTGGAGTGGGATATGATTGTTTACTTATAGCCCATTTTAGTCCAAGTCATATTTTAGAGACCACTACTGATACTTGACCTTGGTCTGAATTCTCTCGATGAAGCCGAAAGAGCCATTCTCTTGTTGCAGATGTAGTTTACCCGAAGCGACCTTGTCTGAGGCAGTGATTGATAGGTGCCAAAACCATCAAGAATCATATTATCTAATCTTCAAGATGAATAACACTACACAACTAATTTTTTAAAATTCAGATGTGAAGCAGCAGAAGTATAGTCAGCATTATGTGATGAGTGGGTTTTTGTTTGTTTTTAACATTACCTTTTAACCTGGGGAAAAAATTAGACCATGCGAGCAGTGTCCCTTAGAAAGGAAATCTGGTCTGCTCTGAAAACCTGGTGTGCGAACCAGGGAACTACCAGAGCTGATAACATGGGTCTCTACAGCTTAAGCTAAGAAGTCAGTCATCCATAATGTTCTAACATGGATTTTAAATTGTGTACATAGATACACTAGACATGCGACGATAGTTTAACTTGCAGAGATGTCATGTGAATGATGACGGGGTTTGGATCACTTGTCTGTATCTTCTTTGAATAAACTTTGTCTTTTTTCTCTTAGCTCCAGTTCTGGTGTTGTGAATGTGTATACCAGTGACACTTGCCTCCAAGAAACCAATCCTAAACCAGTCAAAGCTATAATGAACTTAGTTACAGCTGCTACCTCTCTGGCATTCAACTCCACCACAGAAATTTTGGCAGTGGCCTCCAATAAAGCAGATGAGGCTGTCAAACTGGTATGTTGAGTTTTGGGGGGGTTTTTTTTGGTGAAAGTGAATATTTTCACCCAAACTTGGGAAGGGGCAGAATGAGGAAAAGAACCTATTGTTAGCTGGAATGGTGTTGGATATGTGGATACTACTGTTCTTACAAGTTTAGTGTTGGACAAATAAAATAGTCCGATGCACTGTACAAGCCTGTAACTTGAAAACTAGAGCTGAGGTGTCCAACTAACTCAGTTGGATTAATTCTGGTGCCTGTAGGAAAGCCCTTCCTTTCCCACTTCTTAAAAAGACCTCCTGACACATTCTATTGGAACAGCAGCAGGGTGCACAGGGTGTAGGTGTAATTCAGATTGTCACTGGCACTTTATCACAGCCTTCGGCAATAGCAGTCACTTTACTATGGATTTCTTACACTGGCTCTCTGAGGATGTTGGTACTTGCCTTGCCAGCTACCTAGGTAGTAGTGGAGATGTCTAGCAATTAGTTGAAGAATGATGAGACTGGGGCCCCTTCTACATGGTGCATCTATTGTACAATTGACAGATTAATTGCACAATTAAATCAAGACCAGCTACATGTGCAGAGTACTACCTGTCATACCATAAAAAGTTCCAACCAACTATAAAGTTAGTCCACGTTTTTGAGGTCGAACTTTATAGCTATAGTTTGCACGTATAGCAGGGTCTTCCCTGTTGCTGGGAGCCATGTCAGCTGACTGGGCTCTCAGCCACAGGGGTGAACCGTGAACAGCTGGTGCTTGGAGTCCTGCAGTTGAGGATCTCATTTAACTCCCATTTCTGAGTAATTCAGGAGTAACCAGCGATTAAATGGAAGGCAAAGAAACATGACTTCTACATATTGCCTTTGCATTCCCATCATTTTCTTACCTTTTGGGGGCTGCTGAACTGAAGTCTTGAGCTCCTTGGTGCAGCTCCCAGTTGATATAAAGAAGGCTTCTTCTAGGCTGCTATTGTCCATTTATGCAAATAAGAGGCTAACAGTAACATGCCCATAACTGCATTAATCCCAGAGGGTGTTGAAATGGTTGTCTAGCCAAAATCTTGGAAGATGTAACTTAGTTACTCTTAGTGTAACAGATAATGCAACACAAGTAGAAATAAAAGCCAAACATTGGTAAGACTATGATTGATATTACTTAAACTTCTACTGTGCTAGCAGTCAAATCTTATTACTGAGTGGTTCTGTTACTTGAAAAGAAACCAAATATAAAATTTATTAGAAATTTTCAGTGCAAGGAAACTTGAAACTAGCTCACTGCTCACAATCTAGAAGATCATTTTAAATGAGTGAATCGGTTCTGTTTTAACCTAACAAAGTTAGGAACCTAAATCCACAGGAGTAAAAGGCGGACTTAGAAGACACGCAACTCAAATATACCTCCGTCCCAATGATGCATTAAGCACATTGTAGAAGGGTTAGCCTTGCTTGCCTTCCACGTCATCTGTAGTTTTAATGGGACAAGTTGGTCTATCTTAATGGCTTTTCTCAAGTTCAGTAAGGATTCAGTTCTTTATTTAGGACAAGTCAAATGACATCCTGATTCAGGGTTGTCTGCATTTTCTTAGGAATAGTTTTTGGTGCAAAATGCTCCATTTAAAAATATTTCAGGATATGATATATTGCATCTCTTAGTTGCATCTGCCAAGCTTTGCTCTACTTGATTTTTAACTTTCCTGTAATAAATGTTGTTTTATCTCTTCCTATTCCTGCTTTCTACAATATATACATATCATTTTTTTCAATTCTTGCATGTCTGTCTCTCCCTTCCCCCTTCTGCAAAACATCTCAACTTTTTTTCTCTCTTCTTTCTATCCCACCCATTCTACCACTTAATTGCTAGATAATGAAACTAAAAGGAGATGCTGGTTATCCAGGCACAAACTGCAGAGAGAGTGATTGGTTAGCAGACATCAAACTTCCCCCTTGCTGTTGAAAGGTGGAAATAATTATTTCCTCCTAAATAAGAACGTCAGTTATGTTGGTGGGTCTTGTCTGAGCCTCCAGTCCTCTTGAGAAACTGCCTTCATTGTTGGTCACGAATGCCAAAATTGCTATAGAATTAAATTGACCTGATTTCTTGGGGGTTTTGCTGTAGCCCACGGTGTCTTCAGCATAAGCAACAAAAAACCCTGATTGATTGATTAATTTATTTATTTGTTTTGCTTCAGTTCAGAAAGGTTTTGAATAGGGGAATGGTCACTGGAATGAACTGCCAGCTGTTTGGGAGACAGCTTAGTACAGAAGGTCACTCAAGTTTGAGAATATGCACTGTTTCTAATTCTATACAACTGAAGAAACACAGCTCTCAATCTTGGCCTCTGCACAGACTTGTGGCACTTGCCAATGATGTTGTCCATAAACCACAGAGGAGTGGCTTTTTGATATGGGTTGCTGAACAGTTAATTATTTGGTTTTCATTTTAATGGTGCCTTTTCATTACGATGGACTCAAATGAACTATTTAAGCTTTCATGCCTTTAAAAATGGTGTAGATCTTGGAGTTGTTCACAGTTCAGTAATAACTAGAGGTGTACCAATACATCAGTTCATATCGTATCAGCACTGATAAAAGAAAAATTGACAGTATTGGCAGTTGGCTCTTTTTGGCTGATGTGGTTGATAATGTTGCTTATAAATGCTACGTGCACATGCGCAGCTGCAGCATGCACATGGCCAGGAGTGCAACTTGGCATCTTGGAGACCAATATCTGGCTGATAAGTCAGGGGCGGGGGGGAGCAGATTGAGGCCCCTGCAGTGTGGGAGGGAGTGGGACTGGGACTGGGGCAGGGGCAGGCGCTGCCCAGCTAGGGCAGGGCATGGGACAGAGCTGGTGGCTTGTGCGGGGGGCTGGCCCTCGCTGCTGCTTACACCCCAGGGAGGTGTGGGGGGCACATTGTTCCCTGGATCTCTGCGTGGGGTAGGGGTGGGCTGCCACTGTGCGCTTGTGCTTGGACTGGGCCAGGGCAGGCAGCAGCAGCGCTGGGAGCGGGGCTACAGGGTTGGCGCCCCTGTAGCCTACCTCTCAACGCTGCTGCCACCTGCCCCACCCCACTGGGTGAGAGCACAGCCACAGGAAAGAGCCTGGCACAGTTCCCGAGTGCAAGTGTACAGTGGCAGCTTGCCCTCGTTCTGCGCACGGATCCAGTGGGCCACATGCCCCCCGTGTCTCCTCCAGGGCTGCATGCAGCAGTGGGAGCCTTTCTTCCCCACAGTGAGCTACTGGCTCCATCCTGTGCCCCACCCCAGTTGAGCAGCGCCGACCCCAGCCCCACTCCCTCCCTCACTGCGGTGGCCTTGATCTACACCCCCCCCCCTTCCCGCCCCTACAGACTTACCCAGATGTTGCTCTCTAAGCTGCTGGGCTGCATATCGGCAGTTGGATCAGTATCAGCTGATATGGCTGGTAAGTAATCCGCCATTGGTATTGGCCCAAAAAAATCGATATCCATGAACCCCTATTGATAACAGTCTGTGCTTCCTCAAAAGTGCTCATCTATGTACCATGCAGTGTAAGGTATCTTTCCATAAAGCTATAGTAACAGTTTAATTTCCATGTTGAGTCGCTGCTAAATATTGGAAACGAAGGCCCACAGAATGGGCGGGGGGTGTACTTCTGTTGCATTAGCAGTGCTAACGCCGATTTAAAAGTGTGTGCGTAAGACACTTGCGGACAGTACAGATATTCAGTTTCATAGGTTTCTTAGGAGACCTGAGGATGGAGAATCCTGAAAGCAACTTTATATATAGTACCAATACACTAAGGATTGCAGAGTTCTGTATCTCTAGGTTGTTCCGGTAACCAGCACTGAATTTAATAGTTAAGAGCAACTGTTATGTTACCCATTATATATAAAAGGCACAAAAATTAAAGGTTTTAAAATTTAATATTTAAACAATTCAATTGTATTGAAGGGGCTTTTAATGTTGACATATTTGGTGGTTGCAGGAACTTTGACGTAATTGTCATAGCTAATTTATAACTTTCTTAACAGGTACACATTCCTTCATTTACTGTATTCTCAAACTTCCCACTGTTCAGAAGAAAAGTTATTTACCTTACTCAGTCTATGGATTTCTCTCCCAGAAGTGGCTTTTTCTGTATTGGAAATAACAAAGGCAAAGCTTTGTTGTATAGGTATGTATTAAACTAGGTTCATTAATTCTTTAGTTAAAGAAACTATTACCTTTTGAGATTGGTGACTGCATTGTCTTTGACCTCTGGGTCATCAGTTCACAACAGACCAATTTAATTTGCTTTATTTAAAAAAAAAAAAGCGGTACTTTGTACAAAAAAAAGTTAAAAAAAAAAAAAAACGCACCTAACTTTCATGTTCTTAAAATCAAACTTGCAATCATCTTAATAGACTGTCCAGTAGATTTAATCCACATTTTTTTTTTAAGCATCCATACCAGAAAGCTGCCATCGTGTCAGCAGAGTTCAAAGACTGAATGAACAAGCCACTGACTGCGTTGTTCTTGTTCTTCGAGAACAGAGTTAAGGCATATCGAAAGGTTTCTCACATTGCCCTGATAACTTCAGTGCATATGCTAGATTTGTTCTGAATACAGTATCTGCTTTGAGTTTTCAGGGCTAAGTGCAAACAGTGAGAGAGCCTGCGGCTGGATCAGTTCAGTTTTTGCAGGTTGGTCTAAGCTGCACAGACTGACCCGATAAGCAGGTGAACAGACATTCATTTGTGATTCTGGAATTGCAGCCCCATGTCTGCAGTAGCCCAGTCCAAAAGCCAGGGGGCACCAGAGCATGCCTCCTTGGTCAGCTAGAGCAGACAGCTTAGGCCAAGACTAGCTCATCTACACTGTGAGGGTAGGTTTGCAGGAGAGGTGCAAAGCATCCTGGGATGCCGTGGGACTGTGAGTTAACTTGAATCTAGAGGGGATCTGAGACTAGTTCAATACACTGATTTAACTTAAACCAGCTAAGTCTGATACTACATCCATCCAAGTTTAGTTAAAACGGGTTTCAGCCATTTTGAAATCAGTTTATATTCACTGAACTTCTGTTGTGTTATAGATTTGAATCAGTTTCTGATTACTTATACCAGTTTGTGTAATTTCTGTCCTGAACCCAGGTCTGCAAAGTGAGTGCTTGTTAAAATAGTATGTCTTCAGTTCTCTCTCATTTGAGCAAATAAGCAATGATGTCTTGGTTATTTTAACAAATTGTAATAGGTACCTTGTAGTTTGCAATGGTATCAACCTATTAGGGATGCTGTGTGTTTCCTTGTGGATAGATTTTTCCTCCCCCCCCCCCCCCCCCCCCCCCCCCCCAAACTCAACTTGTGAACCAGTTCTGTCTCCCATGCTGACACTTAAAATGTCAAATTACATTATTTTGGTCAGCCGTGGCTGGAGAGTGTAGGAAGATTAAGTGAATCCTGCATATTTTAAGATGCTCATGCACAACCTGCCTGCCAAATTGTGGCGTAACCTGTATGTGGAGGAAATGAACGCATGGCAAAGACCTTTGTCTCGTATCAACCAAAGAGCTCAGTAAAGCTGGAATGTCTTATTGTGCTAGATGATATAGAAAATACTCTTTTGTATGTGAACAGTTTAGTGGGACTCCATGCAGGAATCTGAGCCTATTCGGTCAGATTAGTCCTAAGCTAAGATTCTTTTTATGGAGACATGAGCAAAGTCCCATAATTGACTTAGATCGTTGTGACTCGTCACTGAAATTAGAACATTTTGAGGTAGGGAGGAGTATTCATTACAAGCTCCATGTCAAATGTGCTGCTATCCATTTACTCTGGACAAAAACGAACTATTAAGCTTTATTGGCTCTCTCTGAATAATAGTATGCTATAAATATGGACAACTCAAGTTCTTGTTTTTTGGAGGGGGGTTTAAGTGTTAATGTAACTTGACATATCAAAGGCTGACAGGTGGTGAGGAGAGCCTGTGAAAAGATGAGGTTTACAACAGTAAGACTAAAAACAAAAAAAAGGAGGAAATGACAAGGTGCATGCTTTAGCATGTGAGAGCTTGGAAGTAGCACAGCTGTGGTGGTTCAAGTGCATCTTCCCACAAGCTATTAACCCTTGTTCCTGAAAGCTAGTGTGGCATGGGTGTATGTAACGAAGATCTCTAGGCAACTGCTAAAGATTATAATTTAAAAGATTTACAATAAGATAGCTAGAAACCAGAGTTTCGACACAGAACACTAACTAAAATGCTGTACCACATGAAACAGGTTAACAAGTTGTTTAAAACACCATTTTTCACTCTGTTTTTTTCAGGCTGAAACATTACTCAGATTTCTGAGGCAGGATGCACCATGATGAAAGCTGCTTGGTGGCTCAAAGGTACAAGTAACTTCTGAACAGCTGTTGATAGCATAATTCTATGGAAGCTGAAATTTCTTCTTCCCTCTGATGAAACTTAATTTGGACTGTATGGAAAAGAGTAATTAAAGTGTAGTTTTGTGTGCGTGTGTGCAGTTGGGTTTTTTTTGGGGGGGGTGGGGCAGTAAACAGCTGGGAGCAGAACTCAATGGTGCAAGAGAGAAGGTGCCAAACCGGCTACTTGTGAATTTCCCCACCAAAAAATTCAGCTCTGACCAATCAATCGACTGATCTAGCAACGGGCATCAGTTTGCACAGGTGTACACTAAAGAAAGGTGAAGTGGTAAGTTGCAGCAGCCAAACTCTGCCAACAAGGTCCCAGTTTTGGTATTAAGTTTAACCAGTTCATAGGAAAAATGCACAGTGACTCATTTATTTCCATTTGGGTAGTATTTTTTTGTTTTTTAACCAGTAACTTGGTATTAATTAGGCAACTCAAATGCCTTTGAAGGTCAACTGAATAAAATGCAGAATTTACATGAGCTTCACAGTATATGTTGTAGTTTCTGTGGCTTCTAATGTGGTGTTTCTTTGCTAATCTCTCCCCAGATGCTGTCATCTGAAGTTTCAAAGTATGCTGACAAATTCCTGCAGATTTTTTTTCCAATACTTTCTTTAGCGATTGGGGGTGGGGGGAGGGTTATTGGAAGTTCATAAGTACCAGTGCTTTTGTGACTATTGTGTAATTTTAATAAAAACATCTTGGCTTGTCCAGAAAACAGATGTTGGCTTCAACTTTGTTTTTTTGTTTGTTTTTTTTTTTTAGTGCTAGAAGTAGGCTTTGAATGACTCTTGATAGTATAACATAACATAGCCATAGCAGCATATGAGCTATGCTTTTTCAAGGAAAGGTTGTTTCAGTTACTCTTACAATAAGTGTTCTAGTGTTAAAATTGAAAACAATCAAGTTCATCATATTAAGCACTTAGGCTGCTTGGAGACATTTAAAAAAAAATAAAAGGCATTTTAAATTTGGCATGCCCCTGTGCTGAGCCCAGCACATGCCCAGAAGAGGCACTGTGTTGGTTGGACTCAGGAATCCCAACATATGTAGATCAGACACTATACTGGGGCTTGTTGGCGCTTTTATCTAATAGCAGATTGAATCTGCTATTAGATAAAAGCATCAAAAAACTCTGCTGAAGCACCTGATCTATACAGATGCTGCAGAACCGGGTTGAAGTAACGCACTGCTGCTTTTGGTAAAGCGCAGTGTTGTGTATGTGTGTGTTTAACATCTGCAAGCAGCCTTAGGTATTAGTAAAACCTCAGTTGGTCTCAGTGTCATAACAGTATCTCTCTTAAAATTCAGATGTATAGGCTTTTCTTTTATTGAATTCTTAATCTTGGAGAATGCCAGACCAATCTTTATTTTTATCTGAAGGAGACCTGTCATTGCTACTCTTAAGTATTAATGCTACTTGATCTATAGGATCAACTTGGAAGGGTTACACTATATCCGTCTACATTTTGTCAGTGGAGATGTGATTAGAATTCTGTTTCATTATTACTTTCTTTTTTTATCAAGCTGGTTACTGAGCTCCTAAAGGAGAAAAAGTCTTAAGAACAAGACTGAAGAGAAATTAACTGTTGCATAACTTGGTGATGCGTGACTGCCATATTGGCAAAATATGCCAGTTTCTCAAGTTGAGCGGGAGGAGAATGCAATTGTCCATTTTGCAGCAGAATAACTACTACTTAGAACTGCATATTATTGAGATGGAGAGCTGTAGTTACTCAAGTAATCAGCAGCTGTGAAATCAATATTGAGGCTTCTGTGTGGGTGGAAGTACTAAAGGAGGTGTCAAACTCACTTTGAGTATATTTATTCTTAAATAGGGAAAAGGCATGTTTGGGTCCTAATATCCTTTCAAAATCTTTGGGTGCTCATAGAACTCCATTTGCTAAACTCCAGCAAAAGCACAATTGTGTGTGTAGCATAGCAATTTCCTAGTTACTGGCCTTTAAACAGAGTGTATTGACCAAGAGACAGCACAGTTAAATTAATGTCTAATCCCATATGACACTTCCATCAAAGAAGGCTGAAGCAGAGACTTGCAATAAAGGTGGAAAATAAAAAATACGTAAAAAATCAAGTTGGTATTCACAGTTAACTGAAACTAGGTGTTTTTTTTCCTCTTCCTGTACTGGAATGTTCTCCTTAAAGGCTCAGTAGATAAAATCCCCAAGCAATGACATTAGTAAAATACTTTTCTATAGTTAAGTTGGTTATAGGCTCCTAAGGTCTGTGCATCCAGAGAGACGGGGGAGAGAATTTAGCAAAATTCCATGTTAGTTTCTGATACGAGTTTTTCCAGTTATTCACTAGAGGGCAGCATTGGATCAGTTGCTTGGAGACCTTGAAAGCTTTGTTTAAAGCTTCTATTTCAAGTTTGTCCTGCAATAATACTTGCATTTGGTATTCATGCTTTGATCAAAGAAATCTTCATTAAGCAGTATATTTGCATTCATACAAGTATCCCACCTGGTAGATAGGCTTGCGTAAGTTTAGTGTTTAATAACTTGCAAAGTATTACATAATTCTTTAAAGAATAGGAAAGCCTAACCCTTAATGAGAATGAAACAGTATTTTGGAGATGAATATTTGGAATCTAGAGAGGGTGTGGGTGGTGGGTTTGTGTTGGTTTAAAATTATTTTTTTTTGTAGTACATCTAAGAAATAAGTAACTTCAGCACCGGTACTTTTCAAATCTGTTTCTAATCCTTCCAGTGCTACTGTGTAGAAGTAGTTATCTTTACCTTTATGCACGGAGAAATCTAATTCAGTTATTCACAGGTGTACAACAAACCATTACCAGATCCAGCGATAGAACTAGGTGGTCAGTCGCATTGCTTCTGCCAGCATTTGTTGTTGTTCCCCCCCGCCCACAATGTCCTAATTTTAAAGTGTTTGGTACAATAAAAATTAGGAACAAAGCAGCAAGTCAATCTCTTCCCTCTTCCTCACCTAGGTAAAGTAAAATTTAAAGTGGCAAAAATGTCTTGTAGTAAATAAATGATGCTTGTAAAATGAAATGTAAAGGAGTAGTTATGTATGGAACTTGTGGAGTGATGTGTAAAACTGAATTTCATATAAAAAGCAGTAGCACTAATTGTTTTAATATTTTAAACATAGCCATAAAGCAGAAGGGGAAGAGGCATAGGGAATAGTAGTAGGATCACAAACCACACTACACTTAATGGAAGTCAAATATTTCAGTAAAATGCTAATTCTCTTAATCTTGTAGATAAATTGCCATTTTAAATATGTTTCATTGACTTGGTAGAGGATGGATTAAACCTCTTCAATGGAAATGTCCTCCATGAGGCTGCAGTGTGGTACCTCTAATCTGTTCAGATTCATGGCAGCAGAAGCAAGCAGGTCAGGCCAGGTAGGATGGCCCCTCCCAAGGAGAGGGAAGGAATAAGGAAATCTAGCACCTTTCCCTCCAAAACTAACTACTGCCTCCAGAGGCAAGGGGAAGGAGCTGTCCCCACTCTCTAGATCCCAGGCAGCAAGGTGAGCAGTTATTCAAGGTGATATCCATGTCCTTATTCTTAATTCTGTGCTCACTCCCAGTTTTCACATCCATTACTGGCAATCCTAAGGAAATGCTTGCCTATCTGTGTATATGGAGAAAACCTTCTAATGCTGGGTATCCCCTTTAGATGACTGACTTAATGCTTAATCTTGTGTGGTAGACTCATCTCTGTGCTGGTTAGTGCCATACAACTGCAGATGACATTGTCTTCCAATCTGACCCGGACAGTTTATAAAGGTTTCTGAGAGCACCTGCCCATCCATATGTTCTCAATCAAATCCAGGCCAATTTCTTCTGATTTGTTGTAGATTGGTTGCAGACTAATTTTTCTTGAAATGAAAATAAATAACTAAATTTTGCTTCATTATCTATTGCTAGTTGCCTTGAGTTCTGTATCTGGCTGAAAATAGTTTATACTGTTACATAGCAGTGTTACCGCTACATAATGCCACTACTGGGTGAGCCTTTGGCAAATCATTTCACCATGACTTTTTTTTTCTTCCTTTTAAGTGGCAGGAAGAAAAGCTAGTTGACTTAAAGAGTTATTTGGTAAAGAAGCATTAATTTAACAAAGGAGGAAAATAAGGAGCAATAATGCTTTTTTAAAATTTCATTTGGGTTTTTTGGTTTATGTAAAGTAAAAGAATATATAAAAGCAAATAGATAAACCACACAGGAAGAAGTTAAACATACTGCAGCCCTGATTTTTTTTTTTTTCTTTTTTTTCTAAGCATGTCCCCCCCCAATTCTGCTCAATTAAGCACAGGGCTGTGTTCTGCTAGTATAACTTGGACACATGTTGCAAAGACCATTGCCATCTAAATTAATAGTACGGAGAAAAGAAGTATCACCAGGAAGAAAAGCAGAGAGCAATCAAGTAGCCTGCCCAACCTCGCACAGGACCTCTGTATAGTGGAACTGAGACTAACCCAGACCTCTTGAGTTTATGGAGCGTGCTTTCTCAACCAGACTTACGTGCCTTCCCCTCCTCAGGGACATTTTTACCTTTTATAACACTGACTTATTTCTATATATAATGGTCAGCAGAAACTCTTTCTTCATGCGTGTCTATTCAGTGAAAATGTCCTTTCTAAGGGATGTACCCTTGTAACTATTGTGGCGAAAATTTGCATCTTTACCTCTGTGGAGACCTAAGCAAAATGACAGGGGAATCAATTAGGCAAATGAGAAGATGGGAGGACAGGGTTGTAGCAGAAAGGTATGTTTTCTATGAATTGGTTTATACAATGGTCTCACTAGTCATGTGCCCTTTGGGCTGTTCCACCCAACTTGAACTTGTTATTGCCTTGGTAACTAAGGGCTGAGTAGGAGACTAGTCATAAGCAGAGGTCCTGGGTTTCTCTAAGAATCATGACTTCTCTGATTTAACCCCCTCCCCCTGCCCCCATCCATGTTTTTCTGCAATTAAAATGAAATGCCAGTTTGTGTGTGTGCATGTATCAGTTGAACACAATGTTTTATTGATATATTTACCATTTTAAAGCAATTTGGGAAACTACCAGTGCCTCAATCACTATAATCAAACACATTCTAAATACTTATAAATTCTTTGGCTTTTGATATTTGATGGGGGGGGCAGTGTTTAATCAGAGCTCCCCTGTTACTCACTAAGACATGGGTCCAGCTGTGGCTCTCTACCCCCACCCTCCCTGCTTTGTAGCACTGAGCAGACCTGATATGCCAGTGTCCTGCCCATGCCATTGCTTCTCACTCCCAAGCTACATCCCTCTGGCCCTGCTGGTGCTCCTACTGCCCCCTGCTCTCCGCAGTCCTGCCGGAGGGGGCCCCCGGCTTCCAGGACTACAGGGTCAGAGACCCAGGTCCACAGCCCCCAGCAGCACCTGAGTCTTGGCTGCTGCCCGTGAGAGGCAGCAGCAGCTGCAGGGGAGCAGAGCCCAACTTCCCTTCCCCACATGGCTAGCACAGCTGAAACAGAGCCCAAAAGGGGTGGGGGGGTGACTGCAGGCTGGTGGCTGTGGGCTTGGTGCTCCCTGCCCAAGTACCTTTCCTTCAGGGCCTCTGTGGCCCAGCAGGTAGGACCTGGCATGCCAGGACAGGGCAAGGCAGAACAGGGCATGGTTGGGAGGCTCGGTGCCACTGGCAGGAGTCCTGCACCCCCTGCCTGTCTGGCAGTAGCAGGGGTGGCGGTGCAGAGTTTTG